ATTAGGTATATAACTAGAGTAGGTGTATGATGTGCCTCAATTTGTACTTCCACATATTCATTGGTTGTTTCTATTTCTACTTTTAACTAATGATTGCAAGTAATAAACTAGAAGACAATATTTTTGGTTTTAATTATTTTTCAAATGATAAAGGAATCTAGGGTTGTGACTTCCACCTAGGTGGCTACCTAACGTGTTGTAAACTATATGGCAAGTTTGATTTATCGGGGTCGTGGTATAGCAATCACACACAATTGCTCACTCTATACCTCTCGGTAGTTTGAGTAATTTTGCCCAATTTGGCTTTCTCAAGCCCAAATGGGTATTTCACAAATTAAGTGATATATGCTCAAATCGGGTCTTACTATCTCTAGATTTGACCCTTTCATTGAGGCTATCAATTTCTTGAGTTCACCCCAATTCCTTGTTAGCCAAGTTTTCCCAAACCTAGTTTCTCTTTCTCAAGCAAAGACTAGGTCAAAAGGCATGAACCAATGTTTGCAACCATTAATTCTATAATTTAAGCATAAACAAGGCTAAATATCACTAACCCAATCTCAAACAAGCCCTAAAATTAAATACCCAGTAAGTATCCACACTAGGGTTGAGCCACAACCCTAGCTAAAGATTAGCTACTCATGAAAAATAAAGAAATACAAGAAGAAATTAAGATAGAATGCATAATCATTGATTAAACAAAGAAAATCTAATGTTAAGAAGTCAATCTAATACAAAATTACTCAAAGAAGTAAAAAAAACCGCTCAGGTGCACCTCTGCAAACTAAACTTAACCTAAAAATGACAAAAAGTTCTATTTATAGTATGTTGAAAATATCTGACAAAAATGCCTCTGCGAAGGTTGTGCGGCCGCATAATTCTGGTGCGGCCCGCACAATGGCTTTCTGCGGCCGCACAAAAGTGCTGCGGCCCGTAGTTTTGTGAATATGGGCTTTGCACTTCAGGCTTCTGCTGTCCGCATAAAAGTGTGTGTGGCCGCACTTAGGATTATGCGGCCGTGCAAAAGTGCTGCGGTCCGCACTCCTTTACTTTCCAGCTCCCTGAATCTTCAATCTTGCGGACCGCATAATAATGCATGCGGCCGCACATATTTAGTGCGGTCTGCACTGCCAGCTATTTTGCCCTATTTTGGTTGTTGTTTACTTTAGACTCCTTTATGAGTTTGATTTGTACTACCAGTTCTTGGGTTAATATGTAAAAGTTCAGATAATTCTTTACTATTCTTCCTATAATTATATTTGGTTTGGTACTGTCTATTAGTTGACTTACCTAGCGTGTCGTGTTAGGTGCCATCACGACTAGTAAATATGGGCCGTGACAATTTTGGGGCAAACGACAGAGCCCTGCGGAAGTCCATGTTTGCACAAAGACAAAAGGAAGAAGAACTTAGTTTACCATGATTTTTGGCCTTCCACTCATATTTACGGGATATTTCCTTCCACTGGATGAATTCCAGTGTCGTGACTTTCAGAATTTTTTGAACCAATTGACTTGAACCCGTGGTGGTTCCCATTAGATAGCTGGAAGAAAAGAAACAAGAAGATCAACAACAATGGGAAAAAATATTTTCATAAAGGAAGGAAATAAATAATTGACAAACTTACGAAGGTGGTTCCACGACTTAAGAAAAGATGGAGTTTTGGTCAGAATGATGCCCCTGGTAGTGAGGACGAATCGCTCCATCCACCAGTATCGTTATCATCATCCACGCCGGTGAGAAGAGCGTGGTGGCCACTTTTGCTGAAGTTTATTACTCTCAATAGAGAACTTTGGGAGAGTAAAGATTCATCATGTGTGCAAGGGGTAGAGTTTCCTTGGTCTCCGTGCACAGCTGGCAAAGGCAAGTCAACGTCCGTCATATCGATGGGCTTACTTATGCTAAGTAGACCGGGTAATGGTGGCAAAACTCCAAAATTATGGGTCAAGCCCTACATTCAACCCCACGGAGAATGGACCCAAGTAAAGTGATACGTATAGACATACGTAAAACCCTCCTTGGTGAAGCTAATCCGCTCTATCAAATCCGGAGCAAGGATTTCAAGATTGGGCAGTTGCAGTCCTCCTTCACAGTTAAGAAACTAGAAGGGAGAATGGAAGAGCGATATCTACTAATAGGCTAAGTCCGCAAAGATGCAGAAGTGGCCTTCTCTTGAAAGTCGTTGGCAGTGCTAAGATGTTGCGGTACGATGGTGCTTACAATGGGAGATTTAGAATCAACATCGGCTTCTTTATCCTTATTTTTCTTCGGGTTTCCACTGGGGAAAGACCAGTGTTTCAAGGACAGTAAAAGTTTTGTTAAGGAAATTAAAGGAGATGAAAAAGTTTCTAAGCAAATGCAAGGAAGAAGAAAGACATATGAAAATTTTGAAAGTAAAGAAGTAAAAATAATGAATAGAAGGGGAGTTATAGATGGCAAAAATCGTGATCATGATTACCTCGAGAACCGGAGAAAATATTTGGTCATTCGTGGGGCAACACGTGTTCGGGGTATTAAATGCGAGAAGACGTGCGTTCTTTCATAAGTCAGAGACTGCTCAGGAACTTTCTCGCCAAGACAGAAATCTTCACCAACTTTTCAGTAACACTAAGATGTGGTAGCGGAAAGTAGGGGGACTATCTGTATGGGATAAGATTGGTTTATAACAGATGCTCAAATGGTAGCGTGACACGTGGAACTGAAGGTGAAAAAAAATGCAAGTCAAGCAAACGACCAATACCGTACACGACGAATGTAATCGACACCCGAAAAATCCCGAAGGAAGCATATTTAACAGGAGGAGATCAATGGTTTGCCATCAGATAGCATTCAATTAAGGAATATTCTCTAACATTAAATGACCGACCGTTGCAGAGAATATTTGGATTCATAGCCTGCCGTTACATATTCATCAATGACTCTTTTATTATCAGTTAAGAGGAGCTTGATCCTTGGATCTTGTTTTCCTAGGTAAAGCTATAAATAGCAGGCCCAGCAGCCATTGTAAGGACACGAAATTCTTTGCAAACATAAGCTGTATTTTATTTTTTCTCTCAATTAAACAACTTTACTTCTCTTTATCATTGCTTTCACTTTTGTCCTCGGAGGCATTGCTCTCGGAGCCAGGCTTGTCATTTTTTTCAATTTCAATTGCTAAATCTCATTTTTAATCTTATCTTGATCATTTTTGGATCAAATTATTTCGCTTGTCTATAAATCACATATCAAATTTAACTGTACTATTTTAGGGGCAAACACAAACTAGATGAACGTCCCATTTATGTATAAGTAAGTGAAGTACATAGGTCGCTTTATATAATCTTTGAAATATAGGAATATCAAGTAACTTCTAATAATATGAGCTCTAGTGGTAGTGGAATAATATGAGCTCTAGTGGTCATAGACCTTATTGTAGATGTTATAAACTGGGAGGGGAACTAAATAGACAATATATTGATGTTTTTTTTCTTTTTGCTTCCCAAAACTATGCTGGTTTGAATAAATTATGCTGAGTTTAGTTATGCTAGTGTTAATTATACTGGGATAAGTTATGCTTGAATTAGTTATCTCGTATTATTTTTTATTGACTATTTGCTATGTTGTATTAATTCTAGAATTGTCCATTTTCCTGCTTTTATCCTAGGATTACTGTTCCACCCTCTAACAAGTATAAGTTATCCCTGTACTATTTTTAATCCTGAGATAACTTATCCCACAATTAGTAACCAAACAAGGGATAATGCGGTACTAATTTTTATCCTAAAATTATTTTTGCTTATCCATCATACCAATTACCAAACGATCCTGAGGGACTACTCAGCGATTTTTTTCTTTCTTCTTTGTGCTGCGTGGAAATGAGATGTTGTACGCATTGGATAGGAATAATCTGCAGATCAAGAACAAAGAGCAAGCTAGATTTTTTCATCTGAGACCAAAATTTTTGTATATTTAGGGGGTCATGGTTCCGTAAAATGATCTAGAAGCTTACAAAAAACTAAAACAAATGACGTATGGATAAATATATAGATTCTAATTCTGTATGTTTTCCGCACCAAACCGATTCTTAAGTCTATTTAGTGTTGTGTTGGCAACAAATTACAATCACATGAAACAATCAATCAAGATTCTCTTAATACAAAAATAACCTGCCAATGATTTGCTTATTTTAATTGCAAAATATCAAGCTTGATTTGATCGACCAAAATTAATAAAATGGATAATGTTATATGTTGAATTGATATCCACATTTTTCTTCGTTGGTTACAATGCCGCATTAGCTCAAATTAAATAACTCCTAGAAAATAATTCAGTTGATATTTACAAGGCGTAATAGGTTGGAGAAATTTTATATATTTAAATTCAAACTATAAATTAGAAAAATGGAACCATATACTATGGGCACTACAAAAAAACGGGTAAATTGCGGAGGTTAAAATTGCAGTTTGCGGGGGTTAGGAACCTCCGCTATTTGCTGTCACGGCGGTTGAGCAAGCCCCCGCAGTATGCATCGCCGCTATTAATTTGCGGCAGACAAATGCGGGGGTTTCCCGAACCGCCGTGACAGCAAATAGCGGAGGTTTTTAACCTCTGCAAATTGTAATTTTTAACCTCCGCAATTTCATGCGCGAATATAAATTTTTATTTTTAAAATTTAATTTTTTTTTGTAGTGTGGGGGTTGTAAACCCCGGCAATTTCTTATGTGTACACATCAGGATATATTCAATTTCTCTTTTGGACTTCTAATTATCCCTATCTATTTTTAAATATATTGTAGAATTGATTTTTTATATCATCAATTTGCCATACCATTTCCCTAATATCAATTGAAATATTTATGGTTAAACCAAAATATTAAAATTAAGAAATATCAACATTTCATTAACCGTGAAAAACACTATGACAGAGTATATCATATGTCATCAAGCTAAATTAGAACATAGTTAACCGTCTATATTAGCTAGCTATTACATTGTTCTAATACATCCACGTCAGTTAAAATGAATTTCAATGGCTGTCACTGGGATTACTAGCGCCAGAAGACCTTCTTGCATCCGTCGGTGAAACGGGTCCACTAGCTGCATCACTTGGCTGCAGCAAAAAGTAAAAATAAAATAAAAATACAAGTATTAAGAGGAGTATCAGGAAACAAGTTATTGAGATAAAATAATGTTCAGCAGTGTTGTCTAAAAGGAAAAGGAGATTGCAATGATACTTTTTCTATTTTTGGATAACCGTGATGTTCGGGCCAGCTTGTGCACACCTCGACTAATTCTACGGGATACCTGCTAATCTACATTAAATTTATTTTCTTGAATTGCTTTGTCTACCATGTGCACTTCAACACCACAAGCTTGTCTTTTTCAGTTCTTTGCACTGTGCATAAGTCCATCTTACAAATTTCAAATATTGAAATACAGTTCTAGAATCATTCCATTAACTATCTTGAAATAAATTTTTGTAATAGGAAATCTTTCAATCCAATAAATGTAACCACTTTACCTCTCCCAAAAAGTTTCCTACTTAGCACCCCAATATGCAGCCTTGAGAATACAAATACACAACGAAATAGAAATCTGAGTTCATGCCCTAAATCATCACTGTAATGCTCATTCCCTCCGAGACGATTAGAAATCTGAATCAGTAGTAATTAGTTCCCCACTCAACCACTAAATTCTCTCATTTGACACCTATGATCACTAACCATACATCAGCAAGCGCACCCTGATATTGAGCAATAAATTTAAGATTAAACCACTAAACCAACAAAAAAGAATGAAACAGGACAAGGTACGAAGCCTCTAGTGATACAACACTTATGGCAGAATTCATGTATATATTACTTCTTCCTTTTGAATTATATCCTCTAATTTCGACCAGAATGTTCTGTTATACATAATTGTAAGAATGTTATACACTTATGATAGATTTTAGGTCATGATCTTGTTTGTCACTGGACTTAATCTTCATGAAAAGTTCAACTAATCCTAATAAGTCAGTGACGAATGTGGGAACTGGCATTTTAAATGTCTTAAAAGGAAAAGCACCACCAGTACATCAGAATAAAGATGCAATTAGTCCAACATTATTCGAGACTAAGAATTTAGCTATTGTTTCTACGAATTTAAGGCATTCAACATATCTTTTGAACAAAGAAATATGAATCATTTGGTTTTCTGCAGGTTTGGGGGCTGACTTGAAGTAAAATTGTGTAATACTAGCTGGTTTTAGAGCTGAAATTGACAAGTATAAAATATAAAATTGCACAATACACCAAAAAAAAGAACTTAGCATTTACCGTTGTAGGAGGAGATGCAAAGATCCCAGCAAATTGTTCTGGTATTGACCCTTCCTTCATTATCATGTATGCTTTGAGAGTATTCATCAATTGATTATACTTCTCTTGACATCCAGAAGAAGAACATCCAACATTATTACTCACAATTCTAATATTACCAAGACGAAGATTTGTCTCTTTGAAAGTATTGCTTGGAGTAGCTCCTAATCCCAAACATCTCACCCTTCCAGGATGCTCTTTGCCTAGCACCTTACCAACAGCATCATTTGGAGAAATTTCAGACTCATCCACCGTACTTTCACTCACTGCTAGCTCAATTTTTTCCTAAACACAATACACATCAAAAAAATCTGAGCCAACATTATACAGTTGAAAAAAATCTGAGCCAACATTATATAATCTTATTATAGTTGTACACGAGCTATGTCAAAAAAAAAAAGAAAAAGAAAAGAAAAAGGAATATGCCAAATCTACATTACAGTACACAGTATCAAAATGAAGCTCAAATTGGAAAAGAAAAAGTTAAACTCAGACTGTGGCAAATGATAAAACAGGAAATTATCATAGTATTCATCTCTGATTTATCTTTAGCTAGTATTTAACTAAGAACAAAACAAAATGGAAGGACTTCATTTTGTAAACTATCTGCTACATGTGAAAATACACTGATCAAGTGAAAATTCTCTACACCGTTAATGCTTAAAAGTTAAATCAACCCCTACCCCCCCCCCCCCCACACACACCCAATCCCCTCAACGGGGCAAATGGAGTATTGACGAAGATGCTTGAGACTAAACACATCCCCTTTATGCAGCATAACAGTCATAAATACAGTTAGTGAAGAGAAGAAAAGGAGGAATTTGCAAGCATGTGGCAGCAAAAATGCTTATTTTCCCCCTTAAACATTTTAATGTATCTGATACAAAATTCTCGCACCAACTGATGAGATGTGAGAGTTGGATTTGATGAGCTATCTGAACCATAACAACGACAACAACAACAACAACAAGACTAAAAATAAAAATAAAAATATGAAGGGCCTACTGATGATGGATATAGTTGAACCATAACTAAAAATAAAAAAATCACCCTTAGTGCAGAGAATGGATTTGAAGGGCCTACTGATGATGGATATAGTTGGAGAAAGTATGGAAAAAAAGATATTCTTGGTTATTGTAACTTACACATATTTCTTTTGCCTCCTCATTTACATATGATCCATCTTTTTTCGTATGTGTAGCAAGATAAAGTTGTGCTCGTCCAGGCTTACTTCCTGTCTCAGCCATCTATGCATGAAAACAAAAATAAGTCAGAATAGTTTAATTAAAGTAAAAGAAATAGATACAATATCTAAAATTTAAATAGTAAAGTAAGGTAAATAATGTGACATCTTTCACCATTTCAGCCCTTCTTCTAGAATTAGATTTGGAGCCACCGGTGTGTGGAACTGTTTGCTTCTTCCGATTTTCAGCATTTCTTTTACACATGTTCTAACAATAAGATACATTTCAGTCAATTATATAAATAAATACTCATATTTATATGCATTTCAATGTGACGTTTCAGAAAAATGCCTGAGTTTCTTCTTTACAACGGTAGTTCACAAAGGTAGTCCATTGATCCCGACTAATACCTATCGGAACATTATCCATAATCTCATCTTTGGTTTTAAGTGGGTCTTTAAACTCATCCCACAACTTCTGCCTACTTGAAGCCCACTTCTTTGAAATAGAGCTATAAACATATCCTCGTGCAACTTCCTCAATGGTCATAAAACAAAAATGAGACTTCAAAAATAAATTTTGGTTAGTTTATCTTTTATATACAAATATTAAAAAAAAAAGACAAAATAGAGATATAGTTATAAAGATCTAGAACTTATACCTTTATAAGTTAAAGCAGTCGTTAAAGTATGACTTAGGCATATCCGGTCATTTATCAAAACCAATTGGAAATATGGTACAGTCAGTTGCTAAAAGGCCACATACGCCTGCTAGAAGGCCTTGTGCTTCGCCAATCGGATACTTGCCATCAAACTCCACCACAACACATTCTCCCTAAAGTAAACTTAATGCTTCTCTAGTCTTCAATTTGAGCCTTTTGGTATTTCCATGTGAATCTTTAATAAATAAAAATAAAAGCAAAAAAGTAAAGGTAAGAGCCTTTTGGTATATATATATGGCGTAGCTGTTCTCTTCTTCTACTACTTCTACGCCTTCTTATTTGTAAGATGTATAGTATTTAATTTGCCTGGTGTGTATCAGAGTACAGCTAATGTGAATCCATTGTCATATATCAAGCACATCAATGGGTGAAGTTGCTTCAAAATATTTTAAAAAATCTCAAGAAAATTTGGACTAAGTCATCAACTAACATCTCAGTGACCTCATCATTTTCTCTGTAAAAAGGAAGTCATATTGTATGTATCCATCACTTTATTTCCATTTACTGTTTCACATTTTAGCATTTAAGATTCTTCGGATTGTTTCAAACCAGTGATTTCAAATAATGAATTTTCTAGGAGACCAAATAGGAATGTGTAATCTAAACTCTAGAAGATGGACAACCAAATATGGGGAGGCATCGTTTTTGGACCTCTAATTCCATACCATATTTGTTATTTTAGAGGTCCAATTCATAACAGCTAAAGAGTTTAGCTAACGAAACATCAATATTTCTCATGTTTAAGACATATACNTATCAGTCACACGATTGTCTTCATCTAAGTTATTTCAGCCTCAGTTGTTGCATTCATGGTCCCTCTGAAAAGGGACAAACTAAGCTCTTAACATAGATTACTGCCTCTAGAAATGGAGCAAAGTTAGTAATATCTAGAAATCTGATCGAATCATCCTTTGGACTGGAATTCATAAAACGTGGTCCAAATTTGAGCAAAATTTCACCTTCATTTGACATTAAAATAGGTCAACAAAATATCTTTCCCATGGAATCAACAGGAGACTTGACGATAAACATATTTGTCCAAATGGGTCTTAATAGATTCAGGGCCTACTGATGATGGATATAGTTGGAGAAAGTATGGACAAAAAGACATTCTTGGTTATTGTAACTTACACATATTTCTTTTGCCTCCTCATTTACATATGATCCATCTTTTTTCGTATGTGTAGCAAGATAAAGTTGTGCTCGTCCAGGCTTACTTCCTGTCTCAGCCATCTATGCATGAAAACAAAAATAAGTCAGAATAGTTTAATTAAAGTAAAAGAAATAGATACAATATCTAAAATTTAAATAGTAAAGTAAGGTAAATAATGTGACATCTTTCACCATTTCAGCCCTTCTTCTAGAATTAAGTTTGGAGCCACCGGTGTGTGGAACTGTTTGCTTCTTCCGATTTTCAGCATTTCTTTTACACATGTTCTAACAATAAGATACATTTCAGTCAATTATATAAATAAATACTCATATTTATATGCATTTCAATGTGACGTTTCAGAAAAATACATGAGTTTCTTCTTTACAACGGTAATTCACAAAGGTAGTCCATTGATCCCGACTAATACCTATCGAAACATTATCCATAATCTCATCTTTGGTTTTAAGTGGGTCTTTAAACTCATCCCACAACTTCTGCCTACTTGAAGCCCACTTCTTTGAAATAGAGCTATAAACATATCCTCGTGCAACTTCCTCAATGGTCATAAAACAAAAATGAGACTTCAAAAATAAATTTTGGTTAGTTTATCTTTTATATACAAATATAAAAAAAAAGACAAAATAGAGATATAGTTATAAAGATCTAGAACTTATACCTTTATAATGTTATTAAAGCAGTCGTTAAAGTATGACTTAGGCATATCCGGCCATTTATCAAAACCAATTGGAAATATGGTACAGTCAGTTGCTAAAAGGCCACATACGCCTGCTAGAAGGCCTTGTGCTTCGCCAATCGGATCCTTGCCATCAAACTCCACCACAACACGTTCTCCCTGAGGTAAACTTAATGCTTCTCTAGTCTTCAATTTGAGCCTTTTGGTATTTTCATGTGAATCTTTAATAAATAAAAATAAAAGCAAAAAAGTAAAGGTAAGAGCCTTTTGGTATGGCGTAGTTGTTCTCTTCTTCTACTACTTTTACACCTTCTTATTTGTAAGATGTATAGTATTTAATTTGCCTGGTGTGTATCAGAGTACAACTAATGTGAATGCATTGTCATATATCAAGCACATCAATGGGTGAAGTTGCTTCAAAATATTTTAAAGGAAGTCATATTGTATGTATCCATCACTTTATTTCCATTTACTATTTCACATTTTAGCATTTAAGATTCTTTGGATTGTTTCAAACCAGTGATTTCAAATAATGGATTTTCTAGGAGACCAAATAGGAATGTGTAATCTAAACTCTAGAAGATGGACAGCCAAATATGGGGAGGCATCGTTTTTGGACCTCTAATTCCATACCATATTTGTTATTTTAGAGGTCCAATTCATAACAGCTAAAGAGTTTAGCTAACGAAACATCAATATTTCTCATGTTTAAGACATATACTAGCCAGCTCTTATTAGCAAAACTTAACACTTCTTTAGCAAAACCAACAGGTTAACCATTCAAGAATATAAGGAGATGAAGGCAGCATCTTCAAGTTCAAATATAAACGACTTGATTGAAGACCTAGAAGAACTCCACATTCTCCGGATCATTTAGAAAGATTACCAGATAGGAAACATACAAGAAACATGAAGTAACCTAGTCCTAGCTTGAATCTAGCAAATAGTAACAGCCACACATAGTAGCAGATAGGTGAAGCAGCAACAGATGTACAAAAGTCCTATAGAAGATGCATTGGACAAGTGCAAATAGATCCACTCACACCCCATGGGCAAATAAATTCCCACAATTAGACTCTAAAGTCCCATACAACAACGAAAGGATAACGATTACCTATTCCATCGACAGTCCAATGATGTGAAGACTCACGTTTTGCACGCTTATTGGATGTTGCTTGTGCTAGTGTGGGATTAATTGGAGGTTGAAATGAAGGAGTTGTCTGTTCCGTGGCCTGAAATGAAGGAGTTGTCTGTCCCGTGGCCTGAAATGAAGGAGTTGGCAATGTTGTGGGTTGAAATGAAGTGGTTTGCTGTCTTATGAAGGAGTTGGTAGTGATGTCGCCTGAAAAGAAGGAGTCGGCTGAATGCAAAGAGTTGTTTTCCCCATGGCCTGAAATGAAAGAGCTTGCTGTCTTTACTGTGTTGTGGCCTGAAATGAAGTGGTTTGTTGTCTTGTGGGTTGAAATGAAGGAGTTGGTAGTGATGTCGCCTGAAAAGAAGGAGTCGGCTGAATGCAAGGAGTTGTCTGCCCCATGGCTTGAAATGAAAGAGCTTGCTGTCTTGGCTGTGTTGTGGCCTGAAATGAAGTGGTTTGCTGTCTTGTGGCTTGAAATGAAGGAGATGGTAGTGATGTTGCCTGACATGAAGGAGTTGGATGTGATGTAGTCGGGAATGAAGGAGCCAATAGTGATGTCATATCTGGTGCCGCATCAGTAGATTTTGAAGAAGACGCTGATTGATGACTTTTGTAAGTTCTGGAAACGTTTGGTCTTCGGCATATGTGCAATCAACAAAAAAAATAATGAGTAATTGAAAATAAAAAATACAAATACAAAATAAAGTACATATATATAAAAGAAAAAAAATAAACATACAAGGATACAAGAAAATTTACATGCCTATTTAGACATGTGCTCATCTATTGCAATTTGGATATTCTCATAAGCATCATCAAAAAATTGTTCAAGTTCTTGTTGTTGGTATGGTTGATTCTCATATATCTCATTTTCATCGACCTCTCCCATATCAAATAAATCTCTCGGCTTTAAATGTACAGCCACACTCCATTCTTTATCTGTTTCATCATCAACATAGTAAACCATATTTGCTTGAGATGCTTCAATGTAAGGATCATGATCCTCGCGATCACCAATATGAATCAATCTAGAAAAATTGACACAATTAAAATTCCAAGCATCTCTTTTGAACCCTCTATCCCGAGTAGTGTCGGCCCACTGGCATTTAAAGAGCACAACTGTGAATAGATAATATTAAAGCTCAATAATATCTTCTAACTTCCCATAGTATGGCAAGTCTGCTTGCCTTGCACTTCTATCAGCACTAGATGCAACACANGTTAAGTCTGTACTAATTACGCCAGAAGAACCACTAGTGTTATAGCATAAAACTTCTTATGTATATTTACACCAGACAAGACATGATACATTTCTCATCCAAGTGTCAAAGTGTAAAATACAACTACTGCTACAAAGAAGCACCTTTGTAGCACAAACTATTCATACTTTGGACATGTTAAGTTTTATCTAAAGCAAGCTTAAGCCAACTTAAAGCATTAAAATAAAATCCATTAAAAATAAAATCATTCTCCCGTAAATAACATGTTATTCTGTAGCATTAAAATGACCATTTTTACTTAGACGGGCATCATTGTGATGCTTACTTGGGATAAAGAAGTCGCAAAGTATTAGCAGAACGAGATTTCATCCAAAAAAAAAGTATTAGCAGAATGAGAACTATTCATGACTTTAAAAGAGACATCGCAGATATGGCTACGGGCTATCAATAGGAAGTCCACTCAACAGATTAAAAATAAAACCAATCTGCCATAAATAACATGTTATTCTAATAGATAAAAAAGGATCATCTTTACTTAAAGGCTGAACACATTGATGGCCCCTTGAACTTGCCAAGAAATTATATTTAGACACCTCAGTGTTCAAAAAAGCGACCGCTTTCTCGCT